CCCTGAGGGACAAGCCATTTTCCCTCTACCTTCCCTACCTCCATCTCTCCATCTTCCTCCACTCTCTCTTACCCCCTAACCCTCTTTTCTACCACTAATAACTTCCATCACCACCAACTTCCTTTACTACCACCTTCCTGCACCCCTTTTTCACTACCCTCTCCTCTTCTTGCACCCCGCTCTTACTCCACCATTGTTCCTCACTGCTCCCTTCAGCTCCCCAACCTTGAGGTAATCCTCTGATTTGTCTCCAAAATCTTCAACTGTTCATCTGGCTTTGCTATTTTCACTCACTGGCAGCAGTGGTTTACACGTTAGTCAAAGCTCCTTGGTGACGCCATTTTCTGGCGCTGTAAAGGAGCAGTAGCAGGAGCAGTAGCAACTGCAGCAGTAGCAGGAGCAGCAGCAGCAGTAGCAACAGCAGGAGCACCATTAGCAAGAGTAGAAGCAGCAGCAAAAATAGCAGCGGGAGCAGGGCACAAAATACCGTAGAACCAATAAAGCTTTTCATTACTATGGCTTTATAAATAAAATTTTCCTTTTCCCAATACTTCTTCTCTCCCTCCATCCCTACCTCCTCCACCCCTAACTCCTCCACCCCCAGAAGTCACCGTTACTCCCCCCGTCCCCCCACAAACTCTCCAGCCGCTCACTTATCATCCGACACTAATTGGCTTCGTGGTCTGGCAGAATTGTAGGGGGGCTCCACCTGCCGGAGGGGCTCCACCTGCCGGAGGGGCTCCACCTGCCGGAGGGGCTCCACCTGCCGGAGGGGCTCCACCTGCCGGAGGGGCTCCACCTGCCGGAGAGGCTCCACCTGCCGGAGAGGCTCCACCTGCCGGGGGACAAAGCTGTCCGAGGCTTCACCTGCTTCTGTTCGTCAAGGCAGGAGTAGGATATCAGCACTCGCCCCTCACAGGGGAGGTAGGAAGTGGGTAACATAAGCGGGTGGGTACTTACCCATCGGTGGAGTCTAGGGGGTAGCGGATGAGGTGACCTTTGGGGCTGGGTTGACTTCCGTTGCCGATCCAGAAAAAGGCGTCTGAAAGAAGTCGAAGAAATTTTTGAGGCCAAGAACGAAGCCAGAAAAACAAATTTTCATTAAACAAATATATGTATAATAAAATCATTCTAAAGGGAACATCGAGAAATGGCATTGCAAAATGGGCAGATAATAAAGAAATATAAGCTTTAAGTTAATAAATATATAGATTCTAAGTTCCGATATAGGAAAAACCTGGGTAAATACTGGTTTGGAAACGGGGGCTGTTAATTTGTGAAACAAGTTACGGGTTAACATAATAGATTGATTGTTTCAAACGTGGTTTAGACATTTATATTAACCAGATGAGATACCCAGTGGTTACCTGGGTCTGGCTCCAACCCCCTTTTACACACACACACACACACACACATACACACACACACACACACACACACACCACACACACACACACACATACACACATACACACACACACACACACACACACACACACACACACACACACACACACACACGGGTGTCTAGTAGCTGACTGGATAGCACGCAGGACTCGTAATCCTGTGGCCCGGGTTCGATTACCGGACCAGGCAGAAACAAATGGGCAAAGTTTCTTTCACACTGAATGCCCTTGTTACCTAGCAGTAAATAGGTACCTGGGGGTAGTCAGCTGTTATGGAGCTGCTTCCTGTGTGTGTGTGTGTGTGTGTGTGTGTGTGTGTGTGTGTGTGTGTGTGTGTGTGTGTGTGTGTGTGTGTGAGAGAGAAAAAAACAAAAAAATAGTAGTTAGTAACAGTTGATTGACAGTTGAGAAGTGGGCCGAAAGAGCGAAGCTCAACCCTCGCAAGCACAAATCTGTGAATACATCTAGGTGAACACACACATAAAATGTTTTCAAGTAAACCATGAAAATATGGTGCGGGTGTGGGTAAAGGCGGGGGGGGGGGGGGGGTACTCCTAAAAATTGCAGGGCTGGGGGGTATTTAATATGCCGATATTTCTTAGAGGGTGGCACTGGGGGACGACCCCCAACTTACACTCACATTCCCGCTCCCCCTCTCGAAGTGTCATGTTGGAAAGTTGGACGAGGTCTTCCTTCTTTTGACATTAATTATACTTCATAGATATAAATGAGTCAGGGTGAATGTCAACTGGAACTGAACCGAATGGGTTAAAAGTATTTCTGCAGTTTACTTAATTATGTCTTTCTTATATTTTATAATACAACGTGTTGCCATCAGAGGCCAATATAAATTTAAGAGTTTTCACGAACCTGTAAAAGCAGAGATTCAAAACACACTTCACCACCTACGTGAGACTAGTCCTAGATCATGCAGCTTCGCCCAAGATCCTACCTAATAAAAAAGGGCATGCGACAAAGAAGGGGAAAGGAGGGGGGAGAGCTAAAAGGGCATAGATTTCACAGGGGCACACGCCCACAAAGACACAGAAGGGCACGGCCACAAAGGCACAGAAGGGCACGCCCACAAAGACACAGGGGCACACGCCCACAATCGACTCTATATCCTTTGAGTGCGTTGTTCCAGTAGCGTTCTAAGTTTTTATTGTGATAACAAAATTGTTAAACTTGAGAGTGTACCGAGTGGCCCATGAACAATGACATACTAAGTGCCGGGAATACAAATTTGAGATGCATTTTCGCGAGTTATATGTCCCTACATGACCTAGCTAGTAAGATGCCAGGTCACCTGGGGTCCCAAGACTACACCCTAGTGAGGCAGGTCACCTGTGGGCCCCATTACTACACCCTAGTGATACAGGTCACCTGGGGGCCCCAAGACTACACCCTAGTGAGGCAGGTCACCTGCGGGACCCCAAGACTACACCCTAGTGAGGCAGGTCACCTGTGGACTCAAGACTACACCCTAGTGAATCAAGAGACAATACAGTCTCGATCCTTCAGACATCACAAAAGAGGAACCAAGAGCCACTTTTTTGTTTTTCCTCTTATACCTTTGTTTTCCTTACCCCTCCTTTTCATCCTTGTATTCTTCCCCTTTTTCCATATCCTCCCCCTTTCCTTCTTCTCTGTGCCTCATCCTCATAATTCCTTATTCCGTTTCCCATCACACCATACCATTCTCCCTCTCCTGTTCCTTTCTATTACATTTCACACATTTTCTGTAAAACAGTCCCGTACTATTCCACCCCCCTTCCCCACTTGCCTCCTTTCAATTTCATTATCCAATCCATTTCCTCTCAATCTGTCCCACCTGGTGCTCTGCGCCTCTCAATTATTCCCTCTTCTATTATTACTCCTTTATCAGTTTTGTACGATTTATCTGTTCCCTTTTAATATTGGCATTGTCCTTTTGCTTTCTAGTTAATATGAGGGCCTAATACAGAATGATTTGGCTGCTACTGCTTTAATTTTCATGGTTTAATATGTTTATTAACAGAGAGAGAGAGAGAGAGAATGAGAGAGAGAAAGAGAGAGAGAAACGGAGAGAGAGAGAGAGGAAGAGGAAGAGAGAGAGAGATAAGAGAGAAAGAGAGAGAGAGAGACGAGAAAGACGGGAGACGAGAAGAAAGGAGAGAGAGAGAAAATAGAGAGAGAGAGAAAGAGAGAGAGAAAAGAGAGAGAGACAGAGAGAGAGAGAGAGGAGAGAGATGAGCGAGAGAGAGAGAGCGAGAGAGAGAGAGGAGAGCGAGATGGAGAGGGGAGGAGAGAGAGAGAGAGAGAGGAGAGAGAGGAGGGGAGAGAGAGAGACGGAGAGAGAGAGAGAGAAAGGAGAGAGAGGGAGAGAGAGGAGCGGATGAGAGAGGAGAAAAAGAGGAGAGAGGGAGAAAGGAGAGAGAGAGAGAGAGAGAGAAGAGAGAGAGAGAAGAGAGGAGGAGAGAGAGAGAGAGAGAGAGAGAGAGAGAGAGAGAGAGAGAGGAGAGAGAGAGAGAGAGAGAGAGAGTGAGAGAGAGAGAGAGAGAGAGAGAGAGAGAGAGAGATGAGAGAGAGAGAGACGTCACTTAAGGGGACATTAAGAACGAATTTGAGAAAAGATCTGAATCATCAAGTGTCTGGAAACCTAAAGTATAAAAGTCTTCAGCATTGTCACTGAACAAACGCAGCAGCATTAACAGACAGCGACTTGAAGATGCCACAACACCAACAGAAGTTGTATATAAGGGATCCATAGGATAAGTCATCCTTCATTAACCCATGAGAAACTATGGTGACTGTTTTACAATGAGTTTACAAGCGCCTGATGTCTCGGAGACAGCAGGGAGGCCGTGCCATCGCGAGGTTGTTGTGTATGATCGGTCATAGCCTCCTCTGTGTGATAGGAAGCCAGCTTCGACATGCGTTTATCATGTCTACAACGACAGACACAATCAGGGATCTCGGGTTCGATTCCCGGGAGGAAGAGAAAGGGTTAAGCCACGTTTCCCGTCACCTAATCCCTCTGTTCACCTAGCAGTAAATACATAACTCCCTGGAGTTAGGCAACTGTTCCTTATACATCCATATACATATCTCTATTGCTATCTACTTTCCCCCAGACTTTTCCCTCTCTCTCTCTCTCTCTCTCTCTCTCTCTCTCTCTCTCTCTCTCTCTCTCTCTCTCTCTCTCTCTCTCTCTCTCTCCTCTCTCTCTCAGCTCTTCGCCCCCCCCACTCTCGTGCCCTCAACTCCCCCCCCCCCCATCTCCCTGAGAATAAAACTTGTACTAATTGGTGTAATGTTGGACAGTTTGCAGGTATTAGGCCCCCTCTCTCCCCCATCAAAGAGCCAATTTAGCGTTTAATGTTCATCTCTGCTTCTGGCGGTGGTGATGGTGGTGGTGGTGGTGGTGGTGGTGGTGGTGGTGGGGGTGGTGATGGTGGTGGGTGGTAGTGGAGGTGGTGGTGGTGATGCAACAGTATATTACTTCACTGTTGTTTGCTTTTTAGTTTATCTAGAGCTGCTGCTGTTACTGTTTTGTGTTACTGGTGCCAGTTATACCCCCCTACTGTTGCTACTCCCCCCCCGTTGCTGCTGCTGCTGCTCCTGTTGCTACTTCTCCTGTTAGCCTGTCAGCTCCTCCACATGCAAGAGTCACGACCCTCACTGTACGACTGACAAGTCGTGGAGTAGATGTAGACTGATATAGTTTACTGCTAAACTACATAAAGATGAACGACACAGTCTACATGTGACCCAAGAACTACAATGTGTCATAACTACCTCTCCTCCCTTAATTTATTTCACAAGGGGGGTGGGGAGATAGATTGATAGATCAGAACATCAGGATATAGAATACAATAGAAGGCCAATTAGACTATTAGAAACAGCTAATATATCAAAACTCATTCATATTCATGTATAACCTGCGCTTGAAACAATCAAATGATCCCACGTCTGCTATGCTACTCTATAATTTGGCTGTTTCATTTTGATGATTACTGTCTATAATAGAAAACATTTCTGGTAAGTCTTTAAAGTCTTCACGCTCTAAGACTTTATACTTAGTAACGTAGACAACATCTGGTTAAGTGAAGATGGAGTTTTCGAGTCTGAGAAGTGGATTATTCTCTAGCAAGACACATAAGAACCGAGACATTGTCTAGCAAGACACAAGAACCGAGACATTGTCTAGCAAGACACAAGCACCGAGACATTGTCTAGCAAGACACAAGAACCGAGACATTGTCTAGCAAGACACAGATAAGAACCGAGACATTGTCTAGCAAGACACAAGAACCGAGACATTGTCTAGCAAGACACAAGAACCGAGACATTGTCTAGCAAGACACAGATAAGAACCGAGACATCATCTAGCAAGACACAAGAACCGAGACATTGTCTAGCAAGACACAAGAACCGAGACATTGTCTAGCAAGACACAAGAACCGAGACATTGTCTAGCAAGACACAAGAACCGAGACATTGTCTAGCAAGACACAAGAACCGAGACATTGTCTAGCAAGACACATAAGAGCCGAGACATTGTCTAGCAAGACATGGATAAGAGCCGAGACATTGTCTAGCAAGACATGGATAAGAGCCGAGACATTGTCTAGCAAGACATGGATAAGAGCCGAGA